AATCGGGCTGTTGGGGTCTTTGGGGTTTTCTGTACTACGTCTCAAGCGCTGTCGCCGGGAGTGGTTGACGTTGAGCGTTTTCCGCACGCCGAGCGGAGTGTTCTTCGGGGGTTTCTAATTCGCGTCTGTTTCGTTGACGTTGAGCGTTTTCCGCACGCCGAGCGGAGTGTTCTTCGAGACTTTCTTGCTCGCGTCTGTTTCGTTGACATTGAGCGCGTTTTCCGCGCGCCTAGCAAAACTCTCGTCGATGCTCTCTTGATCACGTCTGCGACGCTGACGTTGAACGTCTTCTCTTTGACGCGTAGCTCGCTCTTCAGAACTTGCTGCCTCTCGGCTACGACCCTGACGTTCCGCATTATTCTCACGTCGAGCTAAGCTTTCCTCTGTACTTTCTAGGCTACGTCGAAGGGACTGTAGCTGAGCGTGTTCAAGTCGACTATGGATTCGCTGGTCATCGGTCTGTAAAGCACGTCTCACTCGATGGCGTTGGGCATCTTCAGCTAATCTCGCACTTCGTTCTTCCGCACTTTTCAATTTGACGCAATGACTGGTGTCGTTCAGCATCTGCACGTTGCCTAGCATTCCTGGATTGAGTATCCTCAGTCAGACGTCTACGCCGCTGACGAAGGGATTCTGACTCCAAGCGGGTGGATCTCTCTTCATCAGTTTCATGCAATCGTCGGCTGCGCTGGCGTGCAGCGTCACTGTCGTGAATTCCTAGGTCGTCCTCTCTGCCTTCCCTGTTCCATTTCAGCAGTGTATTCACGGTTTTGTACTTCGCTCAAACTGGTCGGTTTGAATCTGCAATAGCAATCGTGATTATCTTAGGCTGCGTTCATACCGTGCGACGGCGTCGTCAACGTCGACGTAACCGACGAAAGCGACGTAACCGACGTAACCGACGACTAGTTCCCGAAGACTGTATACGTATGATCCGACGTAACGGACGAAACCTACGAAAGCGACGATTCCAACGAAAGCGACGTGAGTGACGAAACCGACGAAAGCGACGTAACCGACGACTAGTTCCCGAAGATTGTATACGTATCGATCCGACGTAACGGACGAAACCGACGAAAGCGACGATTTCGACGAAAGCGACGTAAGTGACGAAAGCGACGAAAGCGACGAAACCGACGATTTCATCATTAACTGATTTACCTTTTGAATACGGCACCTTAGGGCGGTGTTGAATCCATACCCT